ACTTGCTGGCCCTACATTAGTATGTGACATTCCACAATCACTAAATTGTGGCACAGCATAAGCCCAAGATGTGCCAGATGGCCCCATGTTCTGTGTGTTGACCGTTGCAAATGTTGTGGCTGCAAACTGACCACCACAGGCCCAAGGAATGCTCCACTCGAGGATGTTGCAGCAAAGCTAGGACTCTCTAATATGTGTTGATTGTCAGGACATGCTTCCTCTACGTCCTCTTGTACTTGCTGGCACTCTATATTTGATGTAGCTGTCACTGACAATGGAGATCTGCTGCTCCTGTTGGAAGCCCTAGGCTTAGGTGTGGCCGACGCACCTTCGGCCTCTGTTCTGCTGCTCTCTCCAGGTACCCGCTCAGCCTCAAGAACATTAAAATGATCCATTAGGTCATGAGCTAAGGCCTTAAGCTTAGCTCTACAGTGACCCTTGGAATCTCTACTAGATATACAAGGTTGCACCTCCTCTGGCTGAGGTATTTGTCTAGCAGCTCTCTCAGCCTCCATGGCTGAAATTTTATCCTGAAGTTCTTTCTAAATAAGCCAAGATTCTTCATCAGAGGAAGATTGAGGTGGGGACACCTGTGGCGGCAGCCTTTTCTTAGCTGGTTGTTTACGTTTTCTGTTGCCTGCACCCTTCCTGGAAGCCATTACTTGCAAATTTGACATCATTAATAACAATGTTTTGGAATAAATGCAGCTAATAAGCCACTTAACCGAACCAATTTTAAGTTACTTCTAATTACTAGTATCTAATTATGAACTAATTACTTTCTTAGTTAGTCAATAACAAATCACTTCCCCAATTACTAATAACTACTTACCTCACTAATTACTCGCTAACACTCAGCTTACTTACCTGTACAAATCCTAGTTAAGCTACTAACTAACCCTTATTTATTACCAAAACAGTTTAATGTACCAGCCCACTACTTAAAGCAACAAATTCTTATTGAATTAAAATAAAATTAATAATGCAAATCAATCCTACCTATTACAACAAATACTTAGCCAATCAACTAAATCAACTAAATTCCCAGATTATAACTTATGTTTATGATTAAATATCAATCACTTACTAAGCTCTTAACCATCTATCAATTTAATTAAAGTAAAAGGAATAATCAATTGAATATTACCTCCCTTTCTAAATGTAATCAATCAAACTCTATTTAATATTATTACTTACCTATGACTAACAGTACCCTTAAACTTATCTATTTATTTATTATAACTGTATAAAGACTAAACCTATTCCATTTTTATAAAAAATTTAATTAAATCAACCCGCGGGTGGGAAGCTAAGAATAATAGGGTGCAGGTGGGGAGGGGGGTGATGAAATACTCAACTAAAGCAACAGCAAGCCACCTGTTGCCCCCGCAAAAATATACGGCAAAACAAACAGTCCAAGCTGAGGAGGGGAAGGGGTTGTGTGCCCACTCCACTTAGCGCCCAGCTGCCTCAATCCCGAATAAGCACTGGATCCTGACCATACACCCTGATATCAAATTAACCCCGCTATAGGTAGATCACCTCAAACAGTGACACAGAACAATAAACAAGGAAAGCTCGAGCCTGGGTGTGTGGGCACGAAAGTGCTGCCGCCGCCCTCACCGCCCCGAACCCTTAATTTAAATGAAAAAACTTTAAAATCATTTCCCCTTCAAAGATCAAATTGAAAGAAATCAAGGAAAAATTATTAACTCTCAACCCGGGGGGGGGGAGCTGTAGCTGCCCTCCCATGCTCCAAATCAACTGATCTTCTCTCTGGAGCAACCAATCTCCTCTGACGCAACAAGAAATATCACAAATGACAAAGGCTTCCTTCTCCTGGAATGTTTGAAAAGAAAGAGGACGGTTAGCAAGCAGAACACCTTATATAGCCAGGGGCCTTCTCCCGCTCTTCAAACCAAATTCGCTGGACCCAGTAAGTCTCATGGCATCTTGGGGGGTTGGTAAAGCTCACTAATGCTTACTCAAGGCCTCGTAGGCCTGGGAAGTGACTTTGTCATTTGCTACCATCCTTCCACTGCCAGATTAAAACCAAGGTGCACTGGGACAGATGTTTTCCATTTTGCTTTGCTGTTTTCTATTTTCCTTGGCACTGTAAAGCTGCTTCAGTGTTTTCTTGGCATGGAGGTGGATCAAAGGATGGTCAAACTGCCGTGCTTGGCAAGGCAGGCAGGCTAGAGAAAGCAGATGTGCTTATCAAACAATACTTCTTTGCACTTTTTCATATGCATACCTTAGCTTATCGTGATGAGGAATGGGGGGGAATAGGTAATTCATATGCCTCTACTGCTCATTAGTAATGATAAAAAGGCTATTTGATTTGCCCACTGGTCGTTTGGACATCTTGCACTGACTTACAGGCCACACTGTTACCTGCTCCAGCTTATTGGGTGCACCTGCATATCTGTAAGTTACTCAGTAAACTTTTCCCTGCAAGCAAACCTGGAGATGACTCATCACTTCCTTGGGATTCTCACAAATAGTTTTAAAACAATGGAACCCCAGGAAAATCTAGCACCAAGTCACGTGGTGAACTGAGTTGCTTGGTAGCCACTTAATGGGATACACACTGGAGTTGGCCAAACCTTTAAAAATGATCTTTTCACACTGACACAGATCTTTGTGAGGGTGGAGAAGTACAAGCAACATCACAACTGCCCATGTTTTCCCCAAAATAAGTCCTACCCTGAAAATAAGCCCTGGTATGATTTTTCAAGATGATTGTAATATAAGTCCTAACCCAAAAATAAGTCCCAATGAAGTGAAACCATGCCCTCCACCAGGGTCTCACTCGGATCCTCCAAGCCCTTGAGAGAGACTTAAAACTTCTTCCCCTCCTCTCCCACTTCCCTCACTTGCAGAGGGGCTGGGCGGCCAGGAAGGAGCTGCGTGCTGCCGAGAACTTGACCCTTGGCTCCTAAGTTTCCAACAGCTCTTGCCTCATTTGCAGAGGGGCTGGGCAGCCAGGAAAGAGCTGCGTGCTGCCGAGAACTTGATCCTTGGCTCCTAAGTTTCCAACAGCTCTTGGGACTCGCGCCTCTGCAGTGTGCGCGCTCCCCCCCTCCAGTGTGTGCCCAAGTGAGGCTAACAAAGCACAAGGTTGGAGGGGGGGAGACGATTTTGGAGCTCTGGCCCCCTCCAGCCAGCCAGGCCTCCACCCTACCTTTATTTTCCCACTCCCCTCTTTCTCCTATCCTAAGCCTTTTAACCCTCCTCTTGTTTGGCTCCCTCTTCGGTGCTGCTGGCAGGGCCATTGTTGTGTTGAAGCAGCCACCGCTCTCTCCTCAACCGGGCTCACCAGCTTTGGGATCCCACCAGCCTCCACACCAATGCTGCCCCCTCCACGGCTGCCATTGTTTCCCGCAAAACAAACCCAGCACCCGCCATCCCCAACGGGAGCCTTAGCCCAGGCACCGCCACCGGAGGAACCCGAGCCATCACCTGGCAGTGGCAGGTGGCACCCCTGGAAGAAGTGGCACCAGGTACATTTAAAGAAGGGGAAGGAGAACGGGAATAAATTATTAATAATAAATGATAGTATTTGAATAAATGCAGATTGTTATACTTGAAAAAAATAAAACATATACTTGAAAAAAGTAAAACATCCCCTGAAAATAAGCCCTAATGCGGTTTTTAGAGCAAAATTAATACAAGACTTTGTCTTATTTTTTGGGGTATATCATTGTTTTCTATGCCCCTTGAAATCACTATGAAAGATCTGATGCTAGCTGCCCCCAACGTTCTTGATGTTGTCCATTACTGGACAAAATCAAGCCCTTGTCAAACCCCTTTACCAATGAAAAACTCCTTGTTTCCCCATATCCTTTTCTAACAGTGGCCTCTTCTCCAGTGTAAAGGTTAAATAGCAGGACAACTAAATTCCTTGACACTCCTTTTCTTTCAGAATTATCCACACAGCTTTTAACGACCCACATAGTCAAATGATTTGCTGAACTTTATAAGCTGATATTCTTCTGCAGTCCTTTGGTATCTTCCAGTAGCTACTGTATGTTTTCCACCTTCCTTTTTGACTTTTCTTTTCCTGAATCTAGGTTGAACATTTGTTATTTCTTGCTCCATATGTGGTAGAACTGTGTTTTGTTTTGAAATCTTGGACATCACTTTAATTGTAGGGAAAATTATGCAATGGTCCTATAGCTACTACATTGCTGTCTATTTGGCTGCGGAGCCAGAGGCTGGGAATTCAATTCCTTACCATGTATCCCAGAACAGCCAGCCTGTGTGGCCTCAGGCAAGCTGCATAGTCTCAGGAGGCGCCGCCCCCCCCGAATATGGGAATGATAAATCACGTCTGCGTGTTCTCTACCTAGAAAACTCTGGAAAATGGTTGCCCGCAAGCTGCATAGTCCCAGGAGGCCCCCCCTACCTAGAAAACTCTGGAAAATGGTTGCCATAAGACAGAATTGACTTGACAGCACACAATTACCATTATTACTATTCTCTGAATAGCAATTGCATATTGCTATATACAGCACCCTTTTCAAGCCAAATCTCCCACTATTGTTCACAAATTTTACCTTTACTTTGCTTGTCATAATTCTCTGAGAGGAATCGAGAACACTGAATGTTTCCAGTCTATAGGCTATCTTTTCCCCCCATATTTGTTGACATATTCCTGTTAGGATTTGATTAATTCAGTATTATACTAAATCTTAGCATTATCTCCTGATGAACACAAATTCAGAGTGCACAATAAGAGCACCTTGTCTTATTAAAGCCTCGAGGCATTTCTGATGAGACAAGAGGTCTCCTTTTAAGAATACATAGCTGCACACTACACCAGGGCTAAAAGCAGAAGAGTGGAAAAATTCTTTCAAAGAGATTATAATGTTATCATCATGCTGCCTCATCTGTATGATTCTATGGCACCTCTCTTGGAAAATATTTGTAGCTGCAATAAAAATGATATACAGCATCTTTTTCCAGCCAAATCTCCCTCTGTTGTTCACAAATTTTACCTTTACTTTGCTTGTCATAATTCTCTGAGAGGAATCGAGCAATACGATCAGAAGGAATAGCAAAGGAAATTCCTGCAGTAACCTTTAAAGTGTTGATGCCAATCACTTCACCATCCTGTTGAAATAAGATATAACTTTTATTATTTCAAAAGGGTTTACTTTTAAAAAGAAATGCCTTCATAGCAGCTTCTGCTTTGCTTCATAAAATGACTTACTGTTCTTCTTACAGTGTTATCAGTACTAATACCCAATGGTAAGAAGGAGATGAATATCTGAACATTTTTTTGTCCTCAATTAAAAAAAAGGTTATATTGACACATTGAGACATCCTGTCAACAAAATGATCAACTACTGCTAGTTTTTCCCGCTTGATAGCAGAAGGAAAGCACTTTCCCCCTCAGTAACAGTGTTTGGACAACAACTGTGGCTTTGACAAAAATAAAAAAGATTTAAAATCTAGTATTTTGAACAAAGAACAAGGGCTTTGTGCAGCATGTGAAGTTTTCAGTTCCTTTCCCCCCACAGAATACAGGTTTTTAAACAAAGAACACTTTTGTGGATTTTTGGTTTAAAAAACCCTACCAAAATGACAAAAATAAACAAAACCTTTTGTCATCTCACCCAGGAGCAGGAGAATATCAGAATTTTTTAAATTTACATATGCAAAAATGTAATACGTGACGATTTACACCACTACCCAATAAGTAGGTGGGATCAATCAATTGTTGCAAGATCGATGTCAATGTGATTCTTCATTTGCTTTTTAAAAAGAGCAGCTAAGCAAATAATAAAGCCAATTGAGAAGTCTTTAAATGTTCCAGGGGATCAGTCCTATTCAGCTGATCCTCCCTGCACATAATGAGGGGAAGGATGGGGACATGTTAGTTTTCTCTTGCTTCTCCATGCCTTGCTGACTTCCATTTGTGGAGTATGGCAGGATCTACAGCAAGAATGAGATGGAAGGAAAAGACCTAGCTATTGTGTCTCCATTCTTCTCTCATCTGCCTCTAATCAAGTGAAGAAAAGAACACCAGTCTAGGGCTATCCTATAATTACAATTCAATTACACTATTAAAATCCACTTTATATATACAATGAGATAACAAAGGTCCATGAAATTATTTGGCTGTAACCAGCCAAACATGTCCGAGAAGTCCATGAGCAGAGCATGGGAAGGCAACAGTCCTCCCACAGCGTCTAGCATCCGTTCATATGTACTTCTGAATGCAGAGACACTCTAAGTGTCGCCCAGAGCCTGAACAGCCCTGACAGGCACCACTGCTTCAGACACAGTTCAGTACAGCCTGTCTTGTCAGCTAATTGGCTGGCAATTCCCCGCTCAAGTGCAGAGATCTCTTTCAGCAAAAATAGTCTCTCAGAGATGAATTCACAGACAATGAGGTGCTGGAAAGAAATTGTTTGATGTGGGCAAGTCTATTGTCTTTTGCTCTTTAAAATCATTCGTATTCTGTTTGTTACTGTCATGAAAATGGCTGCAGAAAACAGATGTTTTCGAGTGAAGCACGCATTTTCCACAACTCAGGTGACAATGCTTGTGGAACATTAGTTCTTTCCCAGGTCCTAGATATATACAGCACAAATTTCCATCATCATCAATTCTGACAACACTGAGAGCCCGTTAACTGGTTCAAAGAGAAAGGTGTGGCCTGAGTGCAGAACATGTCTGGTGTTAAAGTGGGTCTACATCAGGCTGTTAACTAGCAAGGGTTTTCTCCTGAGGTATGGGACTCAACATAGTGGAGGTCCATTAAGAAATACATGTTTCCATTTGTGGATTTCTCTCACTAGACAGGGTAAATAACTACCTGTTCTTCTTTTTCTCTCTGAGTTGTTTGCTAGACAACAGAAATGTCATTCAGCAGAGTCAAACAATCAGCTCAGACAGCAGATGGAGGAGGGCAGGGAGAAGTGTTACGCATTACAGGGCACATTGAACTGTCTTGCAATTCTATGTTGCCTTGTGGCCTTGTGGAGGAGGGCAGGGAGAAGTAGGAGTGAATCTTGCAATTCTATGTTGCCTTGTGGCCTTCCTTATGTCTTCTAAGCTAGCCTGTGTTCTTAAGTTACATCACAGGGCACTGTCCTGTTAACAGAACTGAACTAAGTTTCAACTGGCAAATGAGTGCTCTCCTATGTGTGGAATTGTGGAATTTGAGGAAGCTATTTTGGTGCTGGATATTGAGGCAGGGGGTTTGCAACCTTGCATGCTGCCTCTATTCTGGCTGGGAGGGACCTTTTCCAGGCTTGAGGGACTGTCAATCTACTCAGCACTAACCAGTTGTTCCTTCCCTGCCTCTAGATTTCAAAGAGAGCCCAGCCTCTCTGCTCTGCTCTTCTTCCTCTCTTTTTTGTTTGTTGAAGCAGTTAGTCTATTGGGACCTGTTGCTCAAAAATGTCAGCCATGTTGTTAGCTTGTGGTTATTTACTCATTGTAAGTAAATAAACATTTTCTTTCATCTAATAATGTCTCAGTGTGAATCATCACCTTAGAACAGCAGAGGTAGAAGGGACCTGAACCCTCAAACCTCTGGCTCTGCAGACAAATGCCTAAACTACTGAGCTATCCAGCAGTGAGATGGTAAGTGCCAACTGATGAGAAAAGAGGGTGAACTAATTTAGGAAACGTGAAGTTATTCTGCTCTGTGAATCCCTGTACTTCTGCTGCACAGTGAAAGGAATTTAACCAAAAATTCAGAAGGGTGAATAAACTGATACTTAACCCAGACAAGACAGAAGTGCTCTGGTCAGTTGAAAGGTAAATCAGGAAATAGAAATTCAGTCTGTCCTTCTCCTGAAAGCACAGGTGTGCAGCCTGGTGCCCTCCTGGATTCATCCCTGACCCTTGCTGGTGGCCAGGAGTTCATTTGCACAGTTAAAACCAATGTGCCAGCCACAACTATCCCTGGAGACGTCTGATCTGGCCATGGAGACACATGCCTTAGTTATATCCTGGCTGGATTACTATAGCATGCTTTATATGGGGCTGCCTTTGGAAAGTGTTCGGAAACTTCAATGGGTCCAAAATGCTGTGAACAGATTATTAACCAAAGCTAGCTGAAGGGATCACATAACCCCTGTTACAGCAGCTCCACTGGCTCACGGTGTGCGTCTGGGCAGAATTCAACCATTAAAGCTCTAAATGGCTTGGGTCCAAGCTATCTCAAAAACTTCAGTTCTCTATTAATCTGCCCAGGTTTTTAAATCATTAGGTGAGGCCTTTTTCTTGGTCCCACCAACTCACAGTTGCTTTGGATGGAGACATGGGGGATGGCCTTCCCTGTTGCTGCTCCCAGACTCTGGAACTCTCTCCCACAGGACACCAGAGTGGCCCCATCTCTACTGTCCTTGCCTAGGCAGACAAAGACCTTTCTCTTCAGAAGGCAGGCTTTCCTTTACTGATTGGCTGTCTAAGGCAAAGGCAGAGGTTCCCCTTGACATTTAATCCAGTCGTGTCCAACTCTAGGGCACGGTACGCATCCCTGTTTCCAAGCTGTAGAGCCAGCGTTTGTCCAAAGACAGTTTCTGTTGTCACATTGCCAGCTTGACTAGACACGGAATGCCATCACCTTCCCACCAAGGTGGTACCTGTTTATCTACTTGCATTTTTACATGCTTTCAAACTGCTAGGTTGGCAGGAGCTGGGACAAGCGACGGGATTGGATTTGATCTTATGACTGCTGGTCTTCCAAACTTGCAGCACAGAGGCTTCTGCGGTTTAACCCGCACCACCACCATGTCCCTGACTATCTAAGAGGGGTTCTTAAAATGGGATTGTTTGTATTTTTGATGCTCTTAACTCAGTTTTAGTAATGCTTCTATTTAACATTGTAGATGCAAGTCCCACTGACTCCATGAATCTGTTCTAGGAGAGCTAACCATTAAATTTAGCCTACAAAATTCATCTTCTCAGTAAAAACAACAACTCCTGCACTCCTCCTCTGTCTTATATTCTAGTTAGCTAGTGTCTTATTTGCAGATCTTCAGATACTGTTGCTTGAATACTCTACTGCTTTGCAAGCAAAGAGCAGATGTCTACAAGGAAAACACCTTAACATCAAGGGGGACCCTTTGTTTGATGTTCCCTTTTGGGTAACAACAACAACAAAATGGGTTGACATGTAAAGTGTTGCGTTTAACATCATATCAAACATGTATACTGTCCACACCAAGTTATTACAGTGCTTTGTATCAAGGAGCTGCCCTATGCTCCGCTTTTGCCCCAGCTGCACTGAATGATTTGGCTTTTGCATCTGAGTATGGGGTGCCATGTTCTATCCCTGATGTCTTTCCTTACAGAACCTCACAGAACAAGACCTGTCTTAGGTAGAGACTTATTTTTGCTTGAGATCTTGAAATGCTATAGCCACTGAAAGTAGATCCAAAGAGTGTAGGAACTAGGTTGGGTTAGGAAGAGACAAAACAGGATGTCATCACTATACTAATGGACCTACACTCTTGTTCCTATGTTCATGGTAGATGAAAGAAAGATAAAAACAGGTTTCCATTGCTCTGATCCTGTGATGCTTGAAGCACCTTGCTTTGCTTTCATTTAAATAAATTTATAACAGCTGCGCAATATGGCCAAACCCCTTTTACCCCTAAAACAACAATTCCATTACATTTGCACAAGGCTCTATACAATATTTTCTTACCAAGTTTACCAGTGGTCCTCCTGAGTTTCCATACTGTAAAATATGAAAAGAGAAGAAAAAAGAAAACCAGAAAATGTCACAGAGCATTGTACAAAATGCAAATCTTATTTGAAAGACAAATTTTTAATGATCACCAGTTCCATGATTTCTCCCACATAAATATATAATAATGTGGTTACATTATTGACTTAGCCCATGGTCACACCAGCGAAATGTCACCCTGTGGTTATGCAATTTTTTAATCATGTTCCTGTCATGCTTTGAAGTCACATGGCATTTATTGTAGGATGTGCATCCCAATGTGTTTTTGCATTACCAAGTCATTTCCTTTCAATTCAGTAAGTGCCTAGAGCTTCTTGTTGAGACCATTTGACAAAGGTTAACCAATATATCGACACACACACATATATCGAAGGAATTTTTTTAAAAAAAAAAGTTACAAAAGGACATGCGCCATGACAGTTCAAAAAAGCTGCAATAAGATCGTTCATGCAACATTATTTTTAAAAGATCCACAACAACAACAAAGTAGAAGCCTCTGGCTGAGCAAGAAATGATCTGCAGTTAGCACACTTGCCTGGTAAATGAGTCACTAATGCGTCATGTGACCACAAATTTAAATTTCAAAATCAAAGGAGGAGAACTAGAAAACATTTCATTGGTGTGACCACGTCACTGTTTTCTTACATGTGAGATCAGAAAGTGGAAGAAAGTCCGTTCATATTTTGCCCCCTGTAACCAGCTCACTCTGCAAGAACACCTATTTGCCTATCTATTTGTCCAGGCATCCAACTGTGAAGAGGAATCAATGAAAGTGGTTAAACCTAGAAGTGAACCATCCCCTCCCTCATCTAGGGCAGAAGGAGTCAACACCATCTTTACTGCAGAACCTGGTCCTAGGGGAAGGCTGGAAAACAGAGGGGAAAAGGAGGTGGGAAGAAAAAGGCAGGAAAGGAACAGCCATTAGTGGAGGGTTTCTTAATAGAGGAGGAAAGGGAGGTAAGTGACACAGGAGATAGGCAAGAAGGGAAGAGGAGTTGGGGCTCAGAAGAGTGGGAGAGTCCGGAAATAGAAGAGAAGGAGCAAGAAGGGTTGCTGTCAAAGGGAGAGGAAGAGTCTTATGTGTTCTTCCTTCTTCAAAAGGGAGAGACAAAAACTGAGAGGGGAAAGGGAACCTTTTGGGAATGTGGAAATGTGGGGATCGAGATACAGTTGGGTGAGGCGGAGCCATTGGAATGCACTGTTTATGCCTATCCAAGAGGGAAGGGGCCCTAGAAGGAGGGCCCTATCCCCACGGCCATGACACCACTCAAGGGCGACTGGGCTCGACACCCTTGTTGTGAGACTATTTGTGTGGTGAAGAGTGAACCATGGAGGAGACCTACCGACCTCGAGAGATTTGGAACGTCCCCTCATTGAAGGACTCATTAGTTATGACAGGCTTACAAGGAATGTGGTCTGAAATGTCTGTGGTTGCTGATACCATTGGATCCACTGAAGTTGTTGTACACCCCGCCCCATTGAAAGAGATTAAACCTTTGGTTAATGTTAACTCATCTCCTGTGGTAACTCTCATTAGAGAGGAAGAACTGCTTAATCTAGAACAAGAACTCAATAACACCAACCCACTCACAAATAATGCTTATAAATAACATTCTCCTCCATGAAAATACATATACATTCATTTAGGTAAAGGTAAAGGTTCCCCTTGACATTTTTAGTCCAGTCGTGTCCGACTCTAGGGGGCGGTGCTCATCCCATTTTCAAGCCGTAGAGCCAGTGCTTGTCCAAAGACAGTTTCTGTTGCCACATGGCTAGCATGACTACGGAACACCGTTTTACCTTCCCACCGAGGTGGTCCCTATTTATCTACTCGCATTTGCATGCTTTCGAACTGCTAGGTTGGTGAGGAGCTGGGACAAAGCAATGGGAGCTCACTCCGTTGCGTGGATTCGATCTTCCAACTGCTGGTCTTCTGACCCTGCAGCACAGGCTTCTGCGGTTTAGCCCAGAGCGCCACCACGTCCCTCTCTACATTCACTTAAGTAAGTTGCAAATGTCAGTAAGTTAGTTTGTACTTCAAATAAGCCTGGAAACTCGAAGGCCAGTAGAATATTAAATACCTAAAACAGATGCTAGTACTCTTCGTATATATTTCTATGCAAGAGTTACATTTTTGTCACCTTGGAAAATGACAGAAGATAGTCAGAGTTGCTACTTCCCTAAGCCTTTTTAGTGCTCATGTTTCCCAGCGTGTCACTAAGAGACCAAGGGGAACATCCATACAAGAGCCTTTCTCCATCTTGTACCCTCAAGATGGACCTCAGTTCTATTCATCCTCAGACAGCACATGACAGTCAGAGACGATGGAAGCTGCTGGGTGCCACCAGGTTGGAGAAAGATGACCGAAAATATTTCTTTCAGCACCCTAGGAGTGCTAGGCTATTATTCTCCCTCCTTACTGAGTCTTGGAAAAGAAAAGTGGTGGTGGTGGCGGGAAATCAGTAGTCCGATTATTGCACGGAGTACAGGGGTTAGAGTCTTCCTCCAAAACTTCTCAAACTGATGGACTGATGAATAACAATGCATCATGTTCAGCACATTTAAATGAAGAAAACAGGAAGCACTACAGCAATGCCCAATCAATCCTCTTCATTTCATTGGCCAAAATCTTCTTGAAGTAACTTACACCACACGAGTATGATGATGTCATCACTGTACAATGGGAATATTTGATTTAAACTAATGGAAAGCTTCCTATATCGCTCTTCATGTTCTAAGGCTCCCTAGGGATACTTTTTTGCCCTGGGGAAGCCTTTGGGAGGACCAGGGGACAGGCACCCTTAACAGGCAAAAATCACTGCCTGATTGCTGCCAGTGGTCCTGATTCCATTGGCAGCAATCTGGCAGCATTTTCATAAGCATTAAAGGCTTCCTTCCTCCAGTCCTGAGGGCCCCAAAGGTTTCCAAGGGAAAAATGGAATCCTCAGAGCCTGAAAAGTGGCAGGATTATAGGAAGCTTTCCTTTAGTTTAAATATTCCGATTGCATGATGATGATGATGGCAGGGTAAAAGCCGGAAAATAAATAAAATAAAAACAAATGTCATCATAATATTTGCACAGCATAAGTCACACCAAGAGGACTGTGGCCATTATTATAGGGGGGTTTTCTGAACTGCACCACTCCTTGGAGTAACCAAAAGAAGTGTTCAAACATGGCAGGAGATTCTGGGCTGTTGTAAGCTAAAGAAAGAGCCAACTGTCATATAAGGGCTGAAGACATGTATTTCCATTCTTGATGGCTTTGTGAGCAGACGGGTAGAAAGTCTTCCATAGTTCTGGAGATTTACTGAAGTCACAAGCATTTACTTACATTGATAATAGCATCGGTCTGAATATAATCCATGTCAGAATCCTTCAAGCCAAGCTCTTTGCCATCACGTTGGGTTGTACTGACAATACCTGTTGTCACTGTGTTCTGTAAGGCAAAAGGGCTTCCGATGGCCACGACAAATTCCCCAGGCCTCAGGTCACCTGACTGGCCTATTGACAGGGCAGGCAATTTTTTCTGGAAGATTAAAAAAACAACACCTAATCTGTTTTGTATCTGAGCAAATGAAGCTGCAATGTTCACAGAGAAGTTTAATTAAATATGAGAAATAAGGTCATGCTGGAAGGAATATTCATGTGATCATAAGCTACATATTCAGTCACACTGATATGTAAAAGAATCAATATCATGTTTTTCTCAAAAATGAAACACAAAGCTTACTGAATTATTTTGAATGAAGTCTCCACCATGCAAGGCAAGGTGCTCCCAAACTCAGGGCTTTCAACAGTCAGGTGCTTCTATGGCAAATTATATGCAAATAAAGGGTCAAAAGAAATTTGTTTTCATATTCTGGAATAAGCATGCATGTGGCTCTAACATGGGTGAGGACCAGCCAGAAGGGGTGTGAGGGATGTTTAATATTCCTGCCATTTATTTAAAAAATCAAGCATTTTCCATCCTGCACAGAGTGAAAAATGTTCCTTCCCAGTAAGAGAACAACCTCCTTGTGCAAGAGTTTTTTAAAAAAGAAAGATATCATTGGCATTGAGCTTTTTTTCAACCCATGACACAGGGAAGGGGCACAGATGTTTAAATAAAAAGAGAGGGGAAGGTTAAAGCCACACTGGTCCCTGTCATGATCAGGACCTGTGCATTTAAATCTAGAGAAGGGTTTTCAATCTTTGGCACTCTAGACATTTTGAACATGAACTCTCAGGATCCCTGATGATGAGTCATCCTTATTGGGACTGATAGAAATCCAAAACATCTGGAAGGCCACAAGTGAAAAACTACCGTTTTACAGTAAGAGAGAGAGAGAGAAAGAGAGAGAGAAACCCCTTGTGTTTAACTGTGTACAGTGGAGCTTGAGTCATCCTTTCCAAGCTGCCATATGAGCCCTTTCACTTGTTGCTTACAGAATCTCATTTGTGCCTGTCTAAGGGTCAGGCTGTACGATACAGCTGGCATGGCAACAGAAGACATTTGTTTCTGCAGGGATAACAACACCATCACCTTCCAACTTGAAGCTGGGGCCTCATATAGTTTGTCCCTTAGGCATATGTCCCACCTCTGGATGCATCAGACTGACAGCTGTGCCCTTCGTGAAGTCTGAAATCAGATCTCTTGGATCTCTGAATCCTGCTCAGTCCTATCTAGTGGCACAAAGTGACTAGGAGGAAGAAACTGCTTTACCTACACCCTGAGATCTTGAGAAAGTTTAGTGCAGAAATGCAGGTAAAATCTGGGAACCGGTCATAACCAAGCTGGGTAATAAGAGCAGCAGCATCCTTTCTCACTAATCCATAATTAACAAGGATATTCTTGGAGGCTGATTCTACAGGTATAAAAGCCCCCCAAGTACCTGTTAATAAGATGTAAAGCAAGCACACAGAATTTTCAAGTTATAATAGCTGTGTAAATGCAAGGCATCTTTGTACGAGAAGCACCGCAAATAAAGGTTATTTTTCAGCTACTGCTTAGCAAGACAAGAAACTATCTATTTGAAGGTGTTTCTTTACTAACTCAAAATCTTTTAGAATAAAGCTATATGTACAGAAGACATGGTGCTACTGCTGATGGTTTAATTTCCCCCCTTTTCAGCTAACACATAGTATACATATGCATGTGTCAATAAGTGTAGGTGAACACACATTGATGGCATCTGTTCATGTACTGGGCTACATATTGCTGGCAAGAGAGGATAAAGAGTAGGAAAAAAGCCAGCTTTTGTATGTGTATTTCTCCCAGAGTCTCATGTGACAGCCCTTCTGGTACTGAAAAAAAGCTACTTTTTGCAGTGATATTCATATGGAAGGAGGTGAATCTTAACATATCCTTACTTGACAACCAGTGTCTTGACCATGCCTGGAAATAAACTGGAAGCCCATGAAGTCCTTCCAAGATTGGTATAATGGGGTCTACAAAGTACACAATCTGGACATGATACTGTGCACGAGCCATGATTTCTGAGCAGCATCATGTAGGCCGCATTACAGCCATATTTCTTCTACTTGCCTGTGGATTTATCTTTATTGTTGCTATGTCAGACTTCTTATCAATGTCTTTGATTGTTGCTTCATACGTATCGCCATCCTGTAGCTGCACTTTTAACTGTTGACGCCCTGTCATTGTACTGCTGCTAGACACAACATGGGCATTTGTTACAATTAAACCAGAATCTGACATAATAAACCCAGATCCGCTGGAAAGAGGAACACTGCGGCCAAACAGAGGATGCCTGTAGGTGGAGGGGAAAAAAACACATCAAGGACAGCTCTTAATCAAATCAACTTAAAGAACAAGAGAAGCAGGCCAGAATAATAATATCCCTTCTTTTTTCAGAAACAATCAAAGAAAAGTAGGAAATGTTACAAAATTGAGGTACAAAGAAGAATGAAAGAAGGAATTCACCTTGAGGCAGGCCTGATTTTGTGAGAAGAATGGTTTCACTGACAGTGGTTGTGTATTTTGCCCCAGCAACAAGAGGGAAGCATCTTATTTATTTATTTATTTTATTTATTTATTTATTTATCTAAAATATTTATATGCCAAAAGGACCCAAGTTGGCTTACATCATTTAAAACTAAAACAGTATTTAAAACTAAAACAGTAAGTATACAAATATTTAAAAATAATTAAATAAGTATTATATTAAAATGGTAACTAAGATCAATATTAAAATACATGTTAAAGGAGAGCACAGCAGACCATTTAAAACCCCTCTCTCATCCATGGCTGATCTGGAAATGGAAACTTCCAAGGATGGACTGGGAGTGTATCCATAGCTCCAACTGGGATGATGGAGAGGGGAGTGAAATTACTTGCCTTCATATATCTTTTGGAAAAAAGGAGATCTAGTTGGTTAAAAACATGGAAGAATCTGGAAGGGTAGTGTAATGTATAAAAAGGCCCAGTGGAAAAAGACTTAGGGTGCTTCTATGCTCAGCTGCCTATCAAATGTCACTATAAGAGTAAGCCCATGAAATGTAGAAAATTGAGCCTTCTCCCCCCAACTGGGCTGGTGGTGAATCATGAGAACTTCCGGGATCATCCTATGTCTGGTCACCTTTCCATCCTTTTAAACTGCAAGAGCAGTTATGATTTTTATATTTAAAAAAACAGAAGACAACAAGGTTCCCTTTTAAGTTGGGCGTGTGCCCGTGCGCAATGCCTCTGCCTCCCTGTGCACATCTGTCTTCCTCCTCTGTGCAGCAGTTGCATTAGTTTCCAGTCACTATGGAACCCCGCGTGGGGGAGGAGTGCGCACGCAGGGGCGAAGTTGAGAGAGAGGGGGGTGGCGGAGCCCTGATCAACCGAAGATGAAAATCAGAGGGTACATTGGAAGACACCGATCAACAAATAAGTCTAAAGACCCAACTATAAATTTTAAATACAGTCGACTCCTTAAGAGTCAATTGTCTGTGATTGTCACAGCAGAAATTTCCCACGCTTCCTGTAAGTTGCAAATTAACTTGCTTCATTTTGTAACTGACCATCATGAATATGTTCTTAGTAAGTCTATTTGCGCAGGGTCAGATCACTAAAGGTGAATGTGTGTTGCAACACTTCTCACAGTCGTAGCCTCCAGACAGGTCATGCAGATCCCCCTGTGGTCCCTTGCTGAATCATGCCAACAAAGCTGGTTTGATCTCGCCTTCAATGAGTTATAAAATAAAATCAGGCTAATTTGCCAAATGTCGGCTGAGACAAGTTCTCATCAGAAAAAAAGAGGCAGTCTTTTCTTCTTGAGGGTGCACCGTTTCTAGAGATGGGTCAGCATCTCATCTAGTGAGGCCCTGAGGGAGGAAAGATTGTCTGAATCATAGTTCTTGAACAGTCATGATTTCAGCTCTCAAGTGTCAGAACTGTATGTCAGATAAACTTCGCTGCTATTCACTCTTTCATAAATTTAAACTTGGGCTAAATTGCAAAAGCCTGACATGAGTATACAGAACATTGGCTAATATTCCCCCTGCCAGTAAAGTTTCCAGATGTCTACACTCAATGCAAGGGGTAGCACCAAGAAAGCAACACAAATAAATACGCTTCCCAAAAGACACTATTGGATACAACAACATGTGGTGGATGAACACGTCAAAACACCAAGAACTTGATACATGGAAGATTTTCTTTGAAGCAAAGTTTCAGTCTATGGGGAGATGATCCAAATCAGTAACTATTCCTTAAATGTAACCGTATACGGTGTTGTTTTCAGGGATGGGAGGGGGGGTTATGAGTCAAGACTCCCTGTCGAGTCCAACCTGAGTCACACTGGCAACTTGACTTGGGCTCGACTTGGGGTTTTTTCCCTAATGACTCGCACTCGACTCACAACTTGGAGCCATTTTTCTGAGTTGTGTCTCGAGTTCCCCCCACTGTCTCCTAGCTGAGCATGCCCAGAAGCAAAAGGCTTGGCTCCTGGAAGGGAAGCCAGGCCTGTGGCTTGCTTCTGAAGACAGCATCATGAGGTGACAATGGAAGCAGGTAGGCTCTGGGGCGGCAGTGGCACGAACAGTTTGGTGCCGGTGGTGGTGTGACGGCATCAAGAGCAGGTGGGCAGCAAGGGGCCAGGAGCCAGGCTCACTCCTACTGAGCATGTGCAGAGGCAGTGGCTGGCTCTGGAAAAGGAAGCCAGGCCTGTTGCCTATGCACACACGCACACTCCCTCCCAACCATCCAAGACTAGGGACTTTGACTCAAGGCCTGGGACTTGGGACTTGGTACCAAAGACCTGGGACTTGATTTGCATCTTGCACGAAAGAGCTGGACTCAGGGCTTGGGTCCAAAGGCTTATCACCATTCTTCCTTGTTTTATCCCTCAGTCTCTATCCACATATGCTGAAGTCACAATTGCAGCTTCAATAGAACCATGTAAATGAAAGTATTAGGTTTGCCAGCAGTCATGTTTATACTTCGGTAAATCCTTCAAAAAAAAAAAAAGCCCTCTGGTTTATGAATGTGAGATATTGCTTCTGTGTCCACAGTTCAAAACTCCTGGAAATGGTATGACATTGCTGTGCAATATTGTGCCCATGCAAGAAACAGTGTGCCAAGCTTCACAGCCTAAAGGTTTATGACACCACTGTCAGCAGTCAAGATGGTGCACAAAATCCCTTCCTGGATTCACTAATATTCACAAACAAGACACCAAGCAAAGGAAAATCACAGAACCTGACTCCTTTTTTCAACAGTTAACCACATCTAATCCAGACACAATTAACTGTAACTTCCATCACTCTCATTTTCTGTGGCTCCTCTCTACCTTTGAAGCCTCCGCCTCTCTTTTTAGCTCCTCTTTCTCTCTCACTCTCTCCATTCCTCTATTCTCTCTCTCCCTCTTCCTCCTTGCCCATGGCTCCTCTCTCTGTTCCTCCCCATTCCACGGTTTCTTTTTATGTGTGTTTATTTGTTTAAAGACACTTATTTCTGTGATAAACTGAAGTCCCAATATACCATCTTGGACAGAAGTAAGCCCCATTCTTCTCAATGAGACTTATTAGTTTCCTAAAGTACCAGCAAGAAGTTTGGGCAATTGCTACAGAATACTTCAATATGCATTCTCCTATGTAAAACATGCATCCTTAATGCCCTATAATTTCTAACAGAAAGTACGGATCAACTTCAATTTTTTGAAAGCATGTACAGTGGGCCCTTGACGTACACATGGCTTGACGTGCGTACTTTTCGAGGTACAGTACTGACTTCTCCAGCCATAAAATTTACAATCGACTTGCGGCCGGAGAATCGACCTATGGACCAGAAGGGGGAGGCTGGGAAAGAGCCAAATTCAAATTTGGCACTTTCCCCACCTCCCCCTTCCAGTCTGTCGGGGCGGGGGACCTCCGAGAGGCCTCTGGCAGCAACGGGGAAGCCCTTGGAGGCCTCAGGCAGTGGCGGGGGACCCCTGGAAGGCTTCAGACAGGTAAGGTGTCTTTATTTTAATTTTGTGTGTGTGTGTGTGTGTGGTTCTTGGTCTGGTTACGGATTACAGGGTTTTCAATGCATTCCTATGGGAAAGGGACCCTCGACCTACGGACTTTGCAACCTGCGGCCACCGTTCCAATACAGATTAATTCTGTAGGTCAAAGGTCCACTGTACTAGTAGAAACTATTTCTTTTTCAAGAAGCAGTGGCATTTGAAACATAACTAACACATTCATTATAAGTGGCAAATATTAGTAAAATGAAATCATGGGGAGGGAAGGTGGGAAAGTTTTCTGAAACAAATAACACCAAAAGTAGCTGTCCAACCTTCTCCAAATTTGGCACAGTGCAAGTCCATGTCGTCTACGCTCATTACGCCTAACATGGTCCTGATGCAAGAACCATAAAAAATGGTAACTTTCCCCTCTCTTATTAGTGATGGCTTACAGAATGCTGTTTTGACTGGTCATGCAATATCAGGACTTCACTATGCAGCCCACAATAGAACTCTTTTCCTGGATGATGCAATAGTTATCTGGTCTCTGCAAGAAGACAGTGCAAGAATTTTGGGGAGCCTCTCTGACACAAGACCATGGTGAGATATTAAGGTAATAACAAGGCATTCCTAGCTAACAATAATTGCAAAAAATATTTTTGGCAATAATAATTTTCTTTTTCATCCCAAAATGCAACCAACTTACCTTAGGAAAAGTTCAATATGCACAACTGCTGGTGCAATTTTCTCCACCACATCTGCAATGAAGTTAAATTTATATCTTGGGCTGTTTCGCTGTTGATGACCTGCACTAGCAAAGAAAATTGAACATATTATTGAGAAATTAGAAATTAAAAAAGATTTTGCTGATTTCTACTTAAGGTGAGCCTTAGATGAAAATATTACTTTCTCCTCTGCACAATGCTGGTTCCTCCACTGTCCAGATTCCTACTTCTATGCAGAGGGAATGCCACTCTCCATATCATCATCATCATCATCATTGCTCCCAGACTATGAAATGTCCTCACAGTCGTATTTAGTTCACAGTTGTATTTTAAGAGAGAGTGCAACAACACATCTCATAAATGTAGTCTCTTAAACTTTTAATATTTATTGATTACTGTAATAATTTTAATGACTGGAATCCTCTTCAATATTTAGGTGTAAGTAAGAAGAACTGTGGACATTGCTGAAGCTAACTGATGAGATGCCAGTTGCATATCAGTTTATTTGATGACATGACTGATATACACATAGCATGCACATACCAACAAAATGATTACAGTAATCAATAAATATTAAAATATTTTAAAGGACCAAACTTATGTGATGTGCTGTTGCAACCTCCCTTAAAAGCAGCAAATGTGGGAACTCTGTGCAAATGGGAAGGCATTTCATAATCTGGGAGCAATGATGATGATGATGATGACGTATGTTTCACAATTAGCTGCAATTAGCCACAGCAACTTCTTCAAATTCTCTTACACATAATGACCAACAGAATTTTGCTCATCATTTTATTATTTTACTCATTTTTAAATGTTTGTTGATTGCCTTTGAGTGCTATTTTTCAACTGAAAGGCAAGTTACAAATTTAAGAAATGCAAATAAAATATATTTATCAGTACATTTCTTCTCCAGTGACCTTAATACCTGCAGAGACATTCTATTTACAGCTAGTAATTGAGGAGCGGGGCAGTCAGTTTGTCACTCATCACTTCCTCCTTAAGACGTTCTCTGTTTCCTCAAGAAAAATGTTCCATTCTTTGTTCTTCTTCACCTGTAGTAGATAGTGAGCTATGAAGGCACCTTCATATTGACTTTCAGCATACCTGAATATATAAAAGCCATTTCTAAGGGCTTCTGTATTGAGACATAAGTTTTATCCTGTGTTGTCATGAACTTATGTTTATTTTCCAACAATAAACATATGTTTACCTCACCGTGAGCATCAAGAGTGATCACGTTCTTATCCATAAGGTCACTTGCCAGCCTACTCAATTCTACTAAAATAATGATCACCAGTTCCTACAAATTACGACTCAGTTAAAGCTATGCTAGTGCAAAGGATTCTTCTTGTTTTTTAAAGAGGCTACTGCAGTAAATGTGTCAAGCAAAGAAATAGAGACACAAAATGTGGGTACCACAGCAGAGGACAGAACTGTCTTTCCTGTCCATTTGAAAGATGACTAGAGAATTTACAGAATCACAGAAGTATACAGCTAGAAAAGATAGTAGTCAAGTCCAACGCCCCACTGAAGCAGGAAATCCACAGCTAACTTGTCCCCAGTAAGCAACTGTCAATGAAGGAGAGTCCGCCACCCTCTGAAGCAGTCCGTTCCATTGTCAAACAGCTCTTACTGCCAAAAGGTTCTTCTTAATGTTTAGGTGAAATCTCTCCTTTTTTGCAATTTTAATTCATTTTTTCAAGTTGTATACTCCGGAGTGAAGGAAGCCAAGCTTTCTCTATCTTTGCCTTCCATGTACATTCGTAGAGGATGGGGGAGAGAATTCTTTCAGATGGAGGGGGATGGGGTTATACAGTAGACTTCATTAGGAAAGTATGTGGAAAACTTCTCCACATTAGAGGTAGGGATACCTCTTGTTGCTCCCACACTGCAGCAAAGGAGAAAAATATACCTGAAAAGGCAAAGTAGCTGCAAAACAATCAAACACACAACTGGTGGCTGGCAACTTGTGGAAAAAAATGCCATTGTGCATACAGCATTTTATAACAGGGTTTTATTTGCCAATATCTTTAATTTACAATTTGTTTCAAATTCCTCACAATTTGTTGTTCTTGTTTTTCCCCTTGGCTTTCTGAACAAGAATATCATAATAAAAATGATAAATTACAATCAATTAAGTATAAATATTCCAGAAAAAATGTGTGGCAAGCAATGCTCTTCTTTTTCTTCTCTGAAACATTTATGTTTTTGTTTTGCTTTGCTACGGGAGCACGTCAGCTCTCTACACCAAGGAACTACTGGCTTCCAAAACAATATTTACTCCAGTACCAGGAGTATTAGTGGAAAAATTTTTAAAAGTTTAGGATCTTACTTCCCCAGAAGACTAATTAATTTTTTTAAATCTTATTACCGTTCATTTAGCCCATGGTCAAGCTCTTGTGCTGAAAGTCAACAGCTGAGTTAAGCAAAACATTCAAACGTACACACATACATAAAAACCAAAAGAAGATTATAAGGATATATCCAAGACTTTGAAAAAGGAAGTTCCTCTGCCCACATATCCCTGTTCCCACCCGCAGGTTTCTTTTTGCCCATGCCTTAAATCTATTTTATTGGTGATGAGGGCAACAGCCTTCAAATCCCTATGGAAGGGGCTACAGTTTCAAGATTTGGTTTGTTTGAGGCAATGTACCAAAAGCAATGTACCCTCCAGTTGTTAGATTCCCATATAATACTTTGGTAGAACTGAGAGCAAAGCCACCATTGGCTGAATATAGTTTGTGAAGCTTACGTTTCATGTTTAGAATTTGATAAAACTTGCTCAAAGGCAAATTTCAGTTCAGCTTCTAATTCTAGAGTTTCACATTTCCTTTCCTTCTGTTCACTGAGTATACTACTATGTACCCTGAAATATGATGCATTGGAGATATTTGGTCATGTAGCCTGGAAACAAACAGGAAAGAAAAAACATGCAAAAATGCATGTATTTGCCTCCATTCCAGTTTTGATATCTGGACTTGATATATATAAGTCACGTGCAGGGGAAAATATGGTTCAAGCAAATCTGACACAAAAATCCTTGATTTCTGAAGGGTGGACTTCCCTCAGATGAGGAAACTAGTTGGAAAGAAGGTGAAAGGTAAGGTGAAAAGAATCCAGTCTCTCCAGAGTGCATGGAGCCTGTTTAAAACAATGGTAGTAGAGGCCCAGTGGAAGTGTCTACCGGAAAGAAAGAAGGGGTCAGCTAAGTCCAAGAGGGTCCCGGCAGGGTTAACGACCAGAGTTAGAGAGGCTTTAAAGGGCAAGGAGGGGTCCTTCCATAAATGGAAATCCTTCCCAAATAAGGAAAATAAAAAGAAGCACAAGCTCTGGCAAAAGAAATGTAAGAAGATGATATGGAAGGCAAAGAAGGACTTTGAGGAACGTATGGCCAGCAATATAAAGGGGAATAATAAAAGCTTCTTTAAATATGTGAGAAGCAGGAAACCTGCCAGAGAAGTGGCTGGCCTTCTGGATGGTGAGAGAGATAAAGGGGAGATAAAGGGGGACTTGGAGATTGCAGAGAAATTAAATGAGTTCTTCCCATCTGTCTGACTAATGAATTAAATCAGATATAGGATAAAAGAGAGGATGCTTTAGACCTAATCAATAAATTGAAGATCAATATGTCGCCGGGCCCAGAATACCAGAAGCAGGGGACATCCACTCAAATTGAGTGTTGGGAGAGTGAGAACAGGCAAAAGAAAATCTTTCTTGACCCAGCGTGTTGTTAGTCCGTGGAACTCCTTGCCACAGGATGTGGTGATGGCATCTGGCCTAGATGCCTTTAGCAGAGGACTGAACAGATTCCTGGAGGAAAAGTCCATCACAGGTTACAAGCCACGATGGGGATGTATAATCTCCAGTCTTAAAAGGAAGGTACCTCAAAATGCCAGATGCAGAGGAGGGGTATCAGGAGACAGGGATCTAGTTGTCTCTTGCGCTCCCAGAGGCATCTGGTGGGGCCACTGTGAGGTACAGGAAGCTGGACTAGACGGGCCCTTGGCCTGATCCAGCAGGGCTTATGTTCTTATGTTCTTATGATGTGTTAAATGGCTTGGTTTATACTATTATATTATTATTCTTTAAAAACTGAATTAACAAGAATCCCAGTCCTTATATTATTATTCTTTAAAAACTGAATTAACAAGAATCCCAGTCCTTATTCACATATCTTCATGACTTAGCACTGGGTAGGAGCTGTTAAATTACTTACTTTTTGAAGTCTCAAATAATATTATTTTTGCCCACAGACAGCTAAAATAAACATTTTCGAACTGTCTGAAATGTGTAGAGAACAACCAAAATAAGAATGTTCCACAGTTTGAGTGGCTGGACTTCTTGACAGTGCTGTTGTTTTTCCAAAAACACTGAAATGGAAAGTTTTCTCACAAACTTTCTGCTGCTTTGAATCCACAGAGAATGATTTAGCACATGCAATGCACTTTTCCAGTTTTTGCCAACTAATGGTACATCATGTTAAAGTACACTTACAGAGCAATTTTACACCCTAATTATTCTGGGAGAAGTTGAAAGAGCCCAGCTGGTCAGCTGCTATACTATATATGTGCTCAACCAAGAGAAGGAGAATAAAAGCACATAACCAGAAACACTCCTAAATAAAAGAAGATAGTAGACTATTCCCTGCTTCCCCATTTGAAACACTAGTACCAACTAATCAAGAACTGTGCTAGTGAGAGTGACTACAATCATTTACACATGGAAGATCAATAATGGACACACGTCAACACACACCTTGCATCTCGGCAGTTATAAAGATGTTAATGCCCCCATCTCATCAGCCTAGCAAGACAGGCAGCAATAACCCTGGCCCAACAAGACCTAAGATGTCTGGTGTTCAAACACCGTGGAACTAGAGTTCTACGAAATTCTTCCGCCCATCAGCTGGGAACCCTAAGCATAGGATTGCTCGCTTAGGATTATTTAAGCAAGCTATAGTTTCTTGTAACAAAGTTCTCCAGGGTCTATACACAAATGCTAGGAATATGGGAACTGAACAATTTCCCACACTCCTGGCACTGAGTCCTGTGAAATCTTACTTCAGGAGGGTAAATTTGACTTCACAGGGATAACTGAAACTTATGGGATGACTCCCATGACTGGAATACAGTAATTCAAGGACATTAATTGTTCAAAAAGAACAAAAATAGAAAGACATTCAAAAATAATATTTCTGCACAGAAATGTGGATTAAAATAATTGGGGCAAAAAAAGAAGAATGTGGTAGTTGGATTCTACTACTGACTGCCTAATCAAGGAGAGGATGCAGATGAAACCTTTGAAAACCAAACTGCAAGAATTTCAAAAAGATACCATGTAGGACTAATGAGAGACTTAAATTGCTCTTAAATTGCTCTTGAGGAATTGGGAGCCAAATTCTGTCAAATGTGGCCCTTCCAAGAAACTACTGGCTTGCATTGCTAATAATTTTCTCCTACAAAAAGTGGGGCAAGCAACTAGAAGATTAATTATCCTTGGCTTGTTTCTAATCAATAGGGATGACTTGATGGATAAGTGGCAGTAAGTGAACTCTAGGGGAAGTGACCATGTTATACTTGATTTGTTTATTACAAAGTAAGCAAAAACTGAGTGTGTGCTGAATTTTAGGAAAGCTGACTTTAATAAATGCAGAACATTGATAACTAAGGTCCAATGACAGGAGATCCTCAAAGGAAAAGGAATTCAAGATTGGTAGGGATTTCTTTAAAAAGGGTGTTCTAAAGTCAGAACTATAAACAATTTCAACAAGAAATTTGCTGGAAGATAGCAAAAAGGACCCATGTGGCTTCACAAAAAGCTCAGAGAGGACGTGAGAACAAAAAAAGGAAGTGAAAGGAAGCAGCAAAGAATTGCAGAGGTGGCATTAGGAATTAGTTGAGAATGAACTGAGGTTAGCAAGAGACACTAAAAACATTTGTCAGGTACATGCGTAGCAAAAGACAGAAAAGGAATAGTGGCTCGGCCACTCAATTGGGCTGGCAAAATGGTAACAAATGACAAAGAAAACAAATAGTCAAGGAAAACCTCATTACTTTGAATGAGTTCAAATCTCCAGGGCAAGATGAACTGCATCCAGCTGAAAAACTCGCAGGGTCACTGTGTATTATTTTCTTGAAATAATGGAAGATGGGTGAAGTGACAAAAGATTGTAGGATGGCTAATGTTGTCCTTGTCTTCAAAGGGAGCAAAAGGAGGAACCTGGGAACTACAGACATCAATCCCAGGGAAAATTCTTGAGCAGATGTAAAACAGTCAGTCAGTCAGTACCTTGAAAACAATGCAGTGATAACTAGTAGTTGACATAGATTTTTCAAAAAAAAAATTCTGCCAAGCTAATATGATATAATTTTCTGATTAAGTAATCTCCGATAGATGGTGAGAATGTTGTAGACATATTATATCTTGACCTTTACCTTTTTTCAGCAAAGCTTGTGACAAAATGTCCCAAGATATTTTGATTAACAAGCTAACTAAGGGAAACTGGAACAACTATCTCAATCTGGGAGGAGGTAACAAGAGTGGTGCCATATAATAACTTATAAAACTGGAGAGCTTATCTGACATAACACTGAAGAAAATTGTCCACAAGAGAGACAAAAGGTGCTTGGTTGAGGGGGATGCTCACACTCTACTGGAATACTGCACTGTGTTATATCAGATAGGCACTGCAGTTCACAAGCTATATCAATCTAGTACTATGTCACTTGCCAAAATATTTTTAAAAATCAAAGAGGTGGAGTAGAGGGTAGTATTAATGACAGAGGAGGGTGAGCAACTCAATTCTCTCGTGAGGACTGTAGCAATTTGAGGTGTGGTGTGGATTCTTGCCCGGAAAACTGGCTGAGATAAGCATTCTATGTGAATGACAACAGCGATTTGACTGCCATAGGAAATTTGAATCAAGCCATATCAACCCAAGACAGCATTCTTTAGTCACACCCTAAGTCAATCCTAAAGACCCTCTGATGGAAAAAGCATTTATGAAACATTTAAGTAAAGTCATACAACAAGGTGTATTTTTGTCACCCGTAACTAGCAGGTTCATAAATAAGTCCCAATGAATTTAGTGGGCTTACACCTCAGTATCTGTAAATGGTGGTGGGTGGACTTCTATTTGGAATTTAAACATGTATCTGGAATATTTGTATCAATAAAAGCAGATGTGAAGGCAGAGAAGGCAGAGACTAAGTAGTCTCTCTCTCTCTCTCTCTCTCTGCCTTGTCCTGTTTGTAAAATGTTCTTTTGAAGGTATTTGTGTAGAATGGGAGGCACTGGGATTTCACAGCAAACATCAGTGATAGAACCACTTATTTTAGCTCTAAAGGAACATTTAACTGCTGTTGTTTTTTTTCTAATTTTGGATACGGAGCTGTCTCCTCTCCCATTTCATGCTGGTCAATGAAAAAACCGAACTACCCAACGCTAAACTTTTCAGACAGTTTGTTTTTGCACAGCCCAATGATCCATGAAGTGAACTGAAGAAACTTTTGCTAGTACAAAAGCTGAGCTGACAAACAAAGAGTGATGTTTTCTTGAGAGTCAGCTGGTATGCATCTCTCCCTGTCCCTGCCATTTAGTGATACCACAAGGGCATAAGTCCAAGATCCCTCGGAGAACTGGGGCCTCAGATGCAGCAGACTCACATATTTTGAAGTATATGAACACTAAGCATCTGGCCTAAAATCACCTCACTGCAACTGCATGCAGAAATGTATGAAAGAAAATTTAGAGAGAGAAG